GTAAAACCAATACCACCACGATCGATAACCAACTTTTGAGAATAAAGTATAACATCAAGACTGGTTTTTCCTTATGCAAGTTTAGATGCAGTTTTTATTAAATATGCTAATTTCTTTTGTAACTGGGGACAATTTTCACAATCTTTTTGATCATTACACATGCAATCAGAATTATTATTACCTATTTTCAGATTTTCATTCTTAGTTTCTTCATCAATAATTTTCTTTTTAAGAAGAATGATTTTGTTTTCTAATATACTATTCATGTTTTTTAATCTTTTGTTTTCAATTTCTAATTTCTTAGCTACTGCATGCATTTCATAAAAAGCATCTTGTAATGAACTGTAATTCATAGTAGTTGTTGAAGACAGATGTAATTAAATCTCTATTTTCTTAATTTATTTTGTTTTAAACTTCTCAATTCTACATTTTTGTAAGTTCTATCATTATATTATCATCTTCATCTCCTCCCATGTTCTACTTTATCTTTACAATAGTTAATATTCTTAAATAATTTATATTTTTAATTATAATTTTTTAATATATATTTCAGAAATTAATCAATTATAATCTATTATTTGAAAAACTAATCAATTCTAATCAATAATTTAGAAAACTAATCGATTATAATTAATTATTTGAAAAAATTATCAAATATGATCGATCATTTGAAAATCTAATCGATCAGAATAAAAAAATGTGGTTGTATATGATAGCGGTTCCACTTGAACCGCTCTTAAAGATGCACTTCTAATAGCGGTTAAACCTTAATCGCTATCTAAAATATATTTTAGATAGCGGTTAACGTGGAACCGCTATTATATCGTTTCAATTATGATCGATCATTTCAAAATATAATCGATCATAATGAAAACTTACATTAACTATTTTTTTGAATATTATGTTTTTAAATTTGCTATTAGAGAAAACGTTTCATAATTCAAAATGTTAAATACTTTTAAATATTAAAATTAACTTTATCAAAAATTAGGAAAAAAAATTAATCCAAAAGAGTTCAAAAATGTATTATAATATTATCAATTTTGAGTTTAATTATATTGTTCATTCTCAAAGTAGAAAAATATATTTGTAATTATTTTAATTTAATAAAATATAATTTAAATTTGTAATACTAAAATTAAAAGATTAAATAATAATAAATTTATTTCTTTAAATTGAGTATTTAGAAACTAAAATTATAGTTTCTCTGTTTTAAAACATTGAAATAAATATTTAAAAATAAAAATCAAAACTAGTATTATCTTAAATTTATTAACAGTGTAATTAAATCTCTATTTTCTTAATTTTTTTTGTTTTAAACTTCTCAATTCTGCATTTTTGTAAGTTCTATCATTATATTATCATCCTCATCTCCTCCCATGTTCTACTTTATCTTTACAATAGTTAATATTCTTAAATAATTTATATTTTTAATTATAATTTTTTAATATATATTTCAGAAATTAATCAATTATAATCTATTATTTGAAAAACTAATCAATTCTAATCAATAATTTAGAAAACTAATCGATTATAATTAATTATTTGAAAAAATTATGAAATATGATCGATCAAATGATCAGAATAAAAAAATGTGGTTGTATATGATAGCGCTTGCACTTGGAACCGCTCTTAAAAGCACACTTCTAATAGCGGTTAAACCTTAACCGCTATCTAAAATATATTTTAGATAGCGGTTAACGTGGAACCGCTATTATATCGTTTCAATTATGATCGATCATTTCAGAATATAATCGATCATAATGAAAACTTACATTAACTATTTTTTTGAATATTATGTTTTTAAATTTGTTATTAGAGATAACGTTTCAGAATTCAAAATGTTAAATACTTTTAAATATTAAAATTAACTTTATCAAAAATTAGGAAAAAAAAATTAATCCAAAAGAGTTAAAAAATGAATTATAATATTGTCAATTTTGAGTTTAATTATATTGTTCATTCTCAAAGTAGAAAAATATATTTGTAATTATTTTAATTTAATAAAATATAATTTAAATTTTTAATACTAAAATTAAAAGATTAAATAATAATAAATTTATTTCTTTAAATTGAGTATTTAGAAACTAAAATTATAGTTTCTCTGTTTTAAAAAATTGAAATAAATATTTAAAAATAAAAATCAAAACTATATCTTAAATTTATTAACGAGTGTAATTAAATCTCTATTTTCTTAATTTTTTTTGTTTTAAACTTCTCAATTCTACATTTTTGTAAGTTCTATCATTATATTATCATCCTCATCTCCTCCCATGTTCTACTTTATCTTTACAATAGTTAATATTCTTAAATAATTTATATTTTTAATTATAATTTTTTAATATATATTTCAGAAATTAATCAATTATAATCTATTATTTGAAAAACTAATCAATTCTAATCAATAATTTAGAAAACTAATCGATTATAATTAATTATTTGAAAAAATTATCAAATATGATCGATCATTTGAAAATCTTATCGATCAGAATAAAAAAATGTGATTGTATATGATAGCGATTCCACTGGAACCGCTCTTAAAAGCGCACTTCTAATAGCGGTTAAACCTTAACCGCTATCTAAAATATATTTTAGATAGCGGTTAATGTGGAACCGCTATTATATCGTTTCAATTATGATCGATCATTTCAAAATATAATCGATCATAATGAAAACTTACATTAACTATTTTTTTGAATATTATGTTTTTAAATTTGCTATTAGAGAAAACCTTTCAGAATTCAAAATGTTATAATTTTAAATATTAAAATTAACTTTATCAAAAATTAGGAAAAAAAAATTAATCCAAAAGAGTTCAAAAATGTATTATAATATTGTCAATTTTGAGTTTAATTATATTGTTCATTCTCAAAGTAGAAAAATATATTGTAATTATTTTAATTTAATAAAATATAATTTAAATTTTTAATACTAAAATTAAAAGATTAAATAATAATAAATTTATTTCTTTAAATTGAGTATTTAGAAACTAAAATTATAGTTTCTCTGTTTTAAAAAATTGAAATAAATATTTAAAAATAAAAATCAAAACTAGTATTATCTTAAATTTATTAACGATGTAATTAAATATCTATTTTCTTAATTTTTTTGTTTTAAACTTCTCAATTCTACATTTTTGTAAGTTTTATCATTATATTATCATCTTCATCTCCTCCCATGTTCTACTTTATCTTTACAATAGTTAATATTCTTAAATAATTTATATTTTTAATTATAATTTTTTAATATATATTTAGAAATTAATCAATTATAATCTATTATTTGAAAAACTAATCAATTCTAATCAATAATTTAGAAAACTAATCGATTATAATTAATTATTTGAAACAATTATCAAATATGATCGATCATTTGAAAATCTAATCGATCATAATCAAAAAATGTGGTTGTATATGATAGCGGTTCACTTGGAACCGCTATTATATGTTCACTTTTAAGAGTGGTGTAAATATTAACCGCTCTTAAAATTGACAAATATTTTATTTATTTATTGACACATTTTTGTATCAGATATCGCTCAAGCGAGACCAGTGTCGCTCAAGCGAAATATAACCCGAGAATGCCAATTTTGTCCAGGTGGCGTCGCTCGAGCGATGTTACTTTCGCTTGAGCGAATATTGACCTGCGTAAACGTCGATCAAAGTTAGCCGGATAATGTAACATGGGTGACCTCATGTTTGAATCGGATGTCGCTCGAGCGAGAATAGTGTCGCTCAAGCGAGAATAGTGTCGCTCAAGCGAAATACAACCCAAGAATGCCAATTTTGTGCAGGTGGCGTCTCTCGAGCGATGTTATTTTCGCTTGAGCGATATTGCAAAAATCAGATAAAATCATCGATTATTTTCTCATTAGCGACCGATTTTAATTTGGTCACTATTTCAATTTGTAATTCGGTCGCTAAATCAGTCGCTAAATGATTTTTTTATTTATGTATGAAATAGCCACCGATTTAGCGACCGAAATTTTGCGACGCAAAATATTGGTCGTTATTTCGGTCGCTAAATAAAAAAGTGAAAACCAAATCATATTTTGGTCGCTAAATCGGTCGCTAATTGCGACCGAATTAAAGTGGTCGCTAAATCGGTCTCTAATTGCAACCAAAATTAAATTGGTCGCTAAATCGGTTGCTAATTGCGATCGAAAAAATCGATCGCTAATTTCGGTGGCTAAATGTGTTTTTTCTTGTAGTGAGAATCGAAGAAGAAGATATATATTAATATAAATATAATAAGTTAAAATATATATTTAAATAATATAAATATATATATATTATTTTTTTTAATATAAATATAATAAATTAAAATATATATTTAATTAATAATATAAATTATAAATATTTATTGATGTAAAAAAATATATACAAATAATAATTTAATTTATTATAAATATACTTTTTTAAATAATATAAATAAAAAACGGAAGATGAGTAGAGAAATCCAAAGTCAACCAAAATGAGAATAATAGCATAGTTTTTAACCCAAATAAAAATAAATGGGAACAAGACAGTTAAAAAATTTGATAGCGAGGTGGGAAAACCGCACCGTTGCCATCACTAGACGACTCCGTCTCAGTCAATTTTGATACCACACTTAATTAATTGTTTATTGTGGATTGAAGGTATACATGCTCCTGTGTCTGAATTAGATTGGTGCATATTAAGATGTGGAAGGTTCTGGAACTTGGAAATCAACGTGCGTGTGTAGAAGTCAAAGAATGGAAAACAACACCAGAGAAAATCCAAGAATACATAAGATTGGTAATATCTGAATTTCCAAGAACGTGTGAACCAAAAAAGAGCATAATAATCTTCTTGGATTATGCCAAGTGTATTGACTCATAATAGTCATATTTTGATAATTCAAAACTTCAAAACTAGTTATAAATAAGTAGGCCATAGCCTTCTTTTGCACTGCAAATCACTTACCTACTTGAATCTTTTTCATCATTATTTCTTTGTTGTCCTTGAAGGTGAACAGCTATGGCAGATGAGGTGGTTCTGCTAGATTTCAGGCCAAGTCCATTTGGGATGAGGGTGAGGATTGCACTTGCTGAAAAGGGTATAAAATATGAGTACAGAGAGGAGGACTTGAAGAACAAGAGTCCTTTACTCCTCCAAATGAACCCAGTTCACAAGAAAATCCCGGTTCTCATCCACGAGGGCAAACCCATTTGTGAGTCTCTGATTGCTGTTCAGTACATTGATGAGGTTTGGAATGACACAAATCCATTGTTGCCTTCTGACCCTTACCAGAGAGCTCAGGCTAGATTCTGGGCTGATTATGTTGACAAGAAGGTACCCTTTTGTGCTTCAATGCTTTCATTGTTACTTGTAATCATGGAATTTATGTTATGCTTATGGTATAGAATGATCTAAGTGTGTTGTAGTTTTTGATTATCTTTATAACAGAAGTGTCTCTTATATGAATTCTCATTGTGGAATAGATATATGATAATTTTAGTAAGATTTCGGCATCAAAAGGAGAAGAAAAAGAAGCTGCAAAGAAGGAACTTATACAAGTCCTTAAATTGTTAGAGGAAGAGCTGGGAGACAAGAGTTATTTTGGAGGACACAATTTTGGTTTTGTGGACATACCAGTTGTCTCATATTACCCTTGGTTCAAAGCCTTAGAAACTTTTGACTCCCTCAACGTAGGAGAGTGCTCCAAGTTCACCGCTTGGGCCAAGAGGTGCCTCCAGAAAGAGAGTGTTGCCAAGTCTATTCCTGATCAGCGCGTGATCAATGAGTTGTTTGTGGAGTTGAGAAAGAACTCAAGCACTGAGTAAGTTCAGGTTCCAAATTCAGGTTGCCAATTTTCTATTCGCCATTTTTAGCTTTCGATTTCAGTAGTTTCTCTTCGTTGTATTTCTTTTCTTTCATATTTTGTTCATGCTTTGGTCGTTTCATTTCTATAATTACTACATCAAGAATAAATGGAGTTTACCCAAAATGATTCTGATTTGTTAAAGTATGTTATATCTAATAAAAAGTCCAACCCAAAAATGTCTAATATTTTTTAAAAGTTGAATTTTACAATCTTATACCAATCATTCTCATTAATAATATATTTAAAGAGAAAAAATATTTAAATAAAATATTCGTAAGTTTATCGATCTAATTAAACTTACCCGTTTATTATTCATACACTAAGTAAAATAATGAAAAAATAAATTTGTATAATATAATATAATTTTTTTTAGTGTTTAATTTTTTTTCTATTAATCTTTTATTCTTCTCTCACTTCATCCCATATTAAAATTTGATAAAATGAATCTTTTATTATTTCTGAAAATAAAATATTTAAATTAACCAAAAATACAATAATTTAATATATTATATTTAAAAAATATTATATGATAAATTAAAATATTGTTATAATCATTAAAAAATAAATAATTATTTTGAAGTAAAATTTTTAAAATATAATTAACTCATAAATATTTGGTATCTTTTAATTAAGTGAATAATTGATTTATTATAATAAAATAATTTTAAATTAATTATTTATATCATTTTAAATAAAATTATTTATTGGATCATAAATTTAAATAATTAGTTAATATTTTTTTAGTTTTAATTTTGATTTAAAAAAATTATTCTAAAATATTTTTATTAGATTTTAATATAGTAATTTTAATTGGAATAATAGGTGAGAGAGGGATGAGAAAAAATAAAGAATAAAACTAAAGTTTTCGAAAGGAACAAAAAAATTATGAAGAGAAAAAAAATTATATATAAACGATGAACATGTCCACTTATCTATTTGTGTAAATAAACTTTCAATTCAATCTTATGGATAAGTAAAACTAAAATAAAAATATTATTTTAAAATTTTCTAATCTAATTTAAATTTAATCTTGACAAATTTACCCAAATAAAGTTTATTAATTCTATAAATTGATTGGCTAAATATAAAATTTTAATGTAACATTTGATTTGGTTAAAATTTATATGGGCCCAGTTTCAGGCATTCAATTAGACAGGAGCGACGAAATAGTGTTTTTATTTTTTTTTTTTTTTCTCTTTTCTTATTTTCCTTATTTTATAATTTATTTTATTCAGAAATGCACACACTTTAACATCTACGACTTCCTATATTATATTTTGCTCATACTATAATTATTAAATATTTTAATAAATATTTTAAGCTTAAATCTATTTTTACTTACTTCTTTTCTGTAAGCAAATTCTACTTAAAATTTTTATTTCATAAAAGAAGAAAAGAAAGAAATAATTTTTTTCACTTATGATAGGTATAATAGTTCAGTTTATAGTTATCTAGAATAGTTGAAAAACATCACACATTAAAAGTCATAATTATATTAATGTTTTACGTATAATTACATAATTCAAAATAACTTCTTCAAATTTACGAGGTCTCTACTTCATTCTTCAAATTACTGGATCTTACTACCACTTGCAAAAGATTTAGAATATGCTCACGTGTATAACACGATCATAGCAGAATATCAAAAGATCAAGCACACAACAAAAGCAAGGGTAAGCTACCATTTGATTAAACATGTAGAACAGTGTAACATTGCAAACGACATTTATTCATTCACAAACATCCTAAAGCTAGACTTACCGAAGAGTCTAGCATTTTACAATCACAACACACAACAAGAATGATGTTTTCCGAAAAACTATATGGAATTCAGACCAGTAAAGCAGACACCTGATGAGGAATATTTGGGGTCCCAGACCCTATAATATCATTTTTCAACCTTTTATAAGAGCAACGCATGCATAGGATTGATATTATGTTGTGTCTTCATCGACTTCCCACCACAGATGTCTTTGTCTATATGACTAGAAACATCTTGGAAGTATGGATGCCCTATTATGTCTATCCATAATTTCATACACACTATTCTACACAATACATCAAGTCTATCATTCAATAACTATCATAGTTTTCCTTTGGGTCTTACAGCCTATATTCTCACATTATCAGGTCTTAGTGCCCTTCACATTTCATTATTAACTCATATTCAACATAGAATAGTCAAAGGATGCAACAGAACATCAATAAACCAACTGTGGTTTACACTGTAAGGTTTCCACAAGTGCTCACAATATCATATCACATATAGCACGTATATATATCACAAACATACTCATTATTCACTTTATTTAACTTTTCATCAATACAATACAGCCAGTAAGGAAAATCAGATCTTTTTTTTTTCTAAAATCTTCAATCACAGTTCAATCAAGATGACCATATGGATTCCAAACTCATTCAGCTATTATACTCATTCAACCATATACTCCACTAAATCAGTTTTAAGCACCATCTGACTAACTTATCAAAGTAACACCAACTCTTAATTTATATCTAAAACAACTAAAGTTCATGGTTCATTTCCAATTCTAAAATCCTCCATCACCATCAATGCAAGGATTAATAAAACCTAAAGTTTCAAGTAAAAAAAATCAAAGAAGTCTTCCTTACCTATGGGTGATGCTACACGTCAACCTAACTCCAACAAAGTCTTAGAAAGGCCTAAACACCTAAAATGTACCGTTCTTCCCCAATTTGGGAAACCCTAAAAACGAAATTGAAGCAAGAAACAAAATTTAACCCCAAGAACATGAAATTGGGGAGTGACAGAGTAAGAGAAAACCTTTAATTTCAATATTAATTTCTTAAATTCTCAAAACCTTATATTTTTACTCGCAAAAATCCTAAAATTCAAACTTACCGAAACAAAATTCTAATCGGTAACTCTTCTGCTGTTCTCCGTCGTGAATACAATTACCACCTCATATTCGTGATAACAAAAAAAAAAAGGTCTTCATCTACCAGAGAAAAGGTGGAGATGAGTTATAAAAAAGGAGCAGATATTTTTTTTACTAAGGAGAAAGGAATTTTGTTTTCTCTCTATTTCTTTTTTAATTTTCTTCTTTTAAATAAAGCGTATTATAATTTGACGAACTTATTTTCTTATTCATTGAAAAAATGTGTAGAAATTAGTTTCTAAATTATAATATTTTTCCTACAAATATTAGTCTAAAAGAAATGTTGTGAAGTCTTTCGTGTCCACTTTGTTAATATGTTAAAATAATTTCATAAAACCCTATTTTATTAAATCTAAAAAATGTTATTAATATCTAAATTTGAGGTAAATATATATTATATTATATAAAATATAATAATTTAATTATAATTTAAGATATTTTGTTTCGTATGCTTTTACAATAAAGCAAATATAATCATCGGGCAATACTAGTTGACTTACAAGTCAAAGTTACTTACAACTTATATGAATTATTTAAATGATAATAAAAAAATCAAAGAAAATAATCACTGTCCAAATAATTTCCGATGACGTAATTGCTTACTTCATACTTAAAATTTGGATTGAAGAGGCCTTAAATATGAAAGGATTTTTATGGTGAATTGTCACATCGTAAATCAATTCCATTTTATATTTTAAAATAATAAATTTGTTATTTGATCATATATGTAAAATAATAATATTCTCTTATTTCGTGAAATTATTTTATTATATATTGTAAAATTTAACGTTCAATTTTATAAGAATGAATTTGAAATTATATTTTAAGATTAAATTGTATGTTTTTATCTCAAGAATTTAAATTTTACTAGTTTACTCAAATGATTATTTATTTATTTATTTTATTTTTATTAAAAATATCATATAATAAAAGAAAACAGGTAGATAAATAAATAAATAAAATATAACAGAAAAATATAGCAGTGATTAAATATATGAAATATTATAATATATGAATAAGAAAAAAATATTATTAAATTGATTTTATAGAGTTGAATTCTGTATTTTATTATTTTTAAAATAATATTAAAGAAAATTTGAAGAATATTAAGATATTACTCATCAATATGAGTAAATCACGTATTATTAAATTAATAGTGGATCATTTATTCTTAATAAGAAAAAGTACGATAGATAAATTTTATTTTTTATAATAAAAGTACGATAGAAAAAATTATCATTAATATAAATAAGTGTATCAAAATCTCCTATCCATTAAAAATATGATAGTGTTATAGTTTATAATTAACTATAAATCTTACTTTAATAAGTTAGTTTTTCAAAATTTAATTAGATATTTTATTATTTTTAAAATATAATATTTTTATAATTGTCAAAATGGATGGTCAAATCCAATCTATTCTAATCTTATAAGGTAAGTGAAAAAAATGATAATCCAATCTAGTCTATATCTTTAAATAGATTATAATTTTTTTGATTAATCTGACTATATATTAGTTTAATTAGACCATTTTTACTTGATTGAAATCTTTTAAAAGATTATTAACGTCTTTATATACCAATAATAAACTAAAAAATATTTAAATAAAAATTAAAATTATGTTTTAAAAATTAAAATTATATTAATATTTTTTATAAAATATAATAATTTAATATATAAATTATACGAAAAAAATATTTATTTAATCTTAAGATAAGAATTAAAAAATACTTTTTATTATTATTATTTATTTTTTTAATAATTTATTTATTTAAAATAATAATTCAGGTCAAATATTAAATTATAGAATAAGTAGATATTAAAAAAAAATCTTAAAATAAATAAATATTTTATTAAATTAATTTATAATATATATTTAATAAAATAATATTTTTATTTAAAATAATTATTATTTTGTAAAACCCCCCACAGCCTATGTCACATACTAAAACAAAAGAATCACAAAAACGCAAGACACGTGAACCTATTTTACGAAATCTAAAAATATTATTATTCATATTATTTATATCTGTGATATATG